TCAAATTGATGCTGTCCAGGTATTTTCAATTTCAGCTCCCATAGTTCCAAAACATTAGGGAAAGATGAACTGGACTAATAATGTCTAGTCAGAAATGTCTTTACATATTTAGTAAACCAGGGATGAGTAATGTTTTATGGGGCAGGAGCCACACCTGAATTTCTTAACTTATTAGTGAGTCACAATAGATCTGGTGACACAGTGATTTTCAGCCTGTTTTTCATAATTTCTGAATCTGGAGGGAAGGGGAAGGGTGACAATGGAAATGTTTCCTCTACCAGAGACCTTGCATTGTCATTCCTATCTTTATTTCTGTTTTTTTGTTGTTCTTGAAAATCACCAAGCCTAATTTTGGTGGCATGATCTCATGTCTTTTGGGATGCTACATGTAGACTGCAGGTTGCTTATCCCCCTGTTAAATTATATATGGTTCATCTGCTGCACATGTGTGCAAATCCCTGTTTTGTGGCATGTGTTAATGCAAACAAAATGCCTCTTTTTGAAATGGTAAAGGTTGTATTTCCTTGTCTGTACAAGCAGAGACAGTGATTCTATTAGGGCTGCCACCAAAGAAGCTGTACAAATACATATACTTGTACATTCTGACAGCTGGAGACTACTTTCAAATTGGCCACACTGGCCTTGCAAAGGCCATGATGGCTGCTTTAACATTTAAGGACAAATGTTTCACCAACACACTTTGCAAAGCTCCTCTTTCAGATGCTCTGTATAGTCCTATTTACATGCAGAACTGGCTTTATATTCATTGTCATTGCATCACAAAAAGAGAGTTTAATTAGTAGAATATCTGTTGCGTATATACATACATGCCTGTATACATAAATACAAATATATCTATCATGCTGTTCCCTTTCAAGATAAAGAAAGTTATGGGGAGAGCAGAAATGGAGAGAAAAATCATAAGCTGACAAAATTAAAGCATGAGATAAACAGAAAAGGAAATATAACTAAATGTAGCTTATACAATCATTATTCACTATATTTCTCAATAGTTTGATATCCCTATTAATCATTCTTGCTTTTGTTATGTCCATACACTGCTTTGTACAGTACCTTTTGTTCTTTAAACTTCTCTCTTATCTCTTTTTGAGGGTCTTATCAGCTCCTTCTTGGTCTTCCTCTTCCACTCTACCCATTCACTCCTTCATATATTTGTTTTGTGATTTGATCCTCATTCATTCTCTATGACCAAGCCACCTCAATGTATTTCTTTCACATTGGTCATTCATTTTTTATTCAATCCACATTCATTCAGGATCTATTCATTCCTATCCATATCTTTTCTAGTTTTAAGATACACATTTCTTAATTACCCTATTCCTGCTGCATCCGGCTTACTTTTATATTTCTGCAAACATACCCAACTTTAACTTCTGTAAAACAAAGTGGGAAGAGTCACTGGGAGTCAGGCAGCGTATACATTTAATAAATATTATTATTTATAATTTAATAAATTAATATTAGCCATTCTTGCTTTTTTCAACAAATGTTCATTCCTTGCAACAAACCATGTTGCCCACTATTTTTCTACCAGTATTTGCACAACTTACAATTTCTCTATCCATTTTTCCACCTTTAATAAATATTTTACCAATATACCTGAATTAATCTATTTGCTCTAGTTTTTGCCATTTATACTTAACTTGCATTTGTACACTCTATTTTCCTTGTCAGTCACAACTATCTTGTTATCTGTAAATTGATTTTCAGATCTATATTCCTTGTTGCATTATACAGTCTATCTAGTTGGATGTTCAGCCAACAACACAGCATCAATTCCATACAAAAGCACTTGTACTTCACATTCTTAACCAGCACACTTCTAATGTCACTACAAGCATAAACAACATAAACATCATACAACCTTATTTCACTTCCTGCTCAGTATCGAACCATTAGCTAAGAGTTCCATTTGTTCTCATGTCTGCTCTATCTTCATCATACTCCACTCTTACTGCATTTAGCCTTCAACTCCATTTTCATTGAAAGCATTTCATAAATGAAACCTATTCACTTTGTTATATGCATTCCCTTAATCAGCAAATGTATAAGAAACGTTATTTCCCACATTCATACATTTCTCATGAAACGCCAAAGAACAAAACTCTGCCAAACTGCACAAATTTTGTTCATAGTCACCTCACATATTCTTTCAAACAAAAATTTGCCACAAGCTTCTTAGGCATACGTAATAAACTAATGCTCCTGTAATTTTTGCATTCACTCTTGCTATTTTTTTCCAGATATAATAACAGCAATCTTCCAATTGTCAGGCAGAGACACAGTCTTCACACACATTGAACAAATCACACAGCTTCTCCATAAGCAAACATGTCTGTATTTCAACATTTCTCTGGTTATACCATCTACACCTGGCAGTCTTATAATTGTTCAACATTCTCACAGTATTTATTACTTCCTTTTCATCATTTTTTTCTCGGACACTAACATTTATAGCACTCCTGCTCTTCAATGTATCATTATCATTACAAAAGCTCCCAGAGTCCCCCATTGGGGGGAGATGGGCAGGGAGAAATTTCATACATACATACATACATACATACATACATACATACA